TAAGATTACAAGTACAGTCACTTAGGTAATTTTTTTTTTTAAGTACTGGGGATTAAACTCAGGATATGCTTGCGAGGCAGGCAGCGGCACCACTGAGCTAAATCCCCAGCCCTCGCTTAGGTAATATTGATCCAGTGAGAAATCACAGGGTGGACAAAACTATGAACAACCAATAAGATTATGACAAGTATAGTTGCTTATATTGATTAAATGGAGATCCAGTAGGGAAACAGTCACTAGCAAGCGTACAAGGAATGAGCGAGGATTTCGGTGAAATGGGGTGAGTTTGGGATCTTTCTTGGAAGATTTTTGTCCCCCACGCAGGTGATTGATACTTATTTAGAATATCTGTCACTCCTATTCATCCTACATGGATGTGGTAGTTTCTCTCCTTTTACAATTCTGGCCTTCAGTGGATGTGTCTTGATTGTCCTTCATGTTGGCTCCTTGACTGTCCTCAATGTAGGCTCCTCCTGGGCTAGCCCTGTCTAATTGCCTAAAAAATATCTAATTAACTTACCTATCTTCAATACTTCCTTCTGCACGTATGTGTGCTTGCATGTGGGTGTGTCAGTGCATGCATGTGTGGCTACCACTGAGCTACCCACTCTCAGTTCTGGGTGGGATCCTTTCTTGAGTAAAGTAGTCTTCCTTACCCTCCCTCCCCCTGAATCTGTGATATCCACAGATTCTGAGATAAGGCTGAGCAAGGGTGTTTCTCATACACCTATTTAGGATGTTGTATGTCATCCAGGAGCCATTTTCCCACTGCTTGTGTCCTGCATTCTTGGGTAAATGTGGTTTCCTCAAGTGTGTTTGTAGTTGGGAGTACTGAGGAAAGCACAGCAAGTGCTGATCTCCTGCTGTCATTTTTCTGAGGCGACAGATTCTAAGGGGAGAAGTCAGGGAACAGGTATAGATAACTCCACTTGCCAGCATGTTCGCCCTGTTTGTAACTGGCAAGAGGGATGTGACTGTTTATTTCATGTGAAGTTTTCTGCATTATAGTTTCTTCCTATAATTAACATAGATAAAAGTTGTTTTTAACAAATACAGAGTCTGCTGGACTTTTGAGCTGGATTTAAATCCCAGTTGTGTTATTTAAATTGGTTTGTAGCCTTAGGTAAACCTTGGAGGCTGTTTCACTGGTTTTTCCACTCCTCTCACACTACAACAGTCAGCACAAAAGTCCCCTGTGACCTCAAAAGGTATGGAGATTTCTCACCAGCAAGCTAGGCTTGCTCTGCTATGCGCTCCCTGCCATGATACACTTTCTATCCCAGGCCCATAGCTGTGGGTCTGCTCCACCATAGACTGAAAGCCCTGACACTCAGGAAATTCCATGTGATGTTGAACTGAGAAAGGTAGTAAAAAAATCATATTTGGATCCCCCTCTGTGGCCTCTTGTGTTTCCAGTCACTTCTAATCAAGTATCTGTCTTATTAATAGTTTATTTAAAATTCAAAGTCTAGCAACAGTTCTCCAACCTTATGTTGGGCCTGTGAAACAGGTCCCTGATATTCTCAAGGAGCGTGGAATCCAGGGTTAATGAGGCATGAGGAAGACTTCCGCGAGGCATGAGGAAGACTTCCGCGAGGCTTTCCCTAGACACGTTGTCCAACTCCATGGTTGTTTGATGAGCTCCTAATTCAAATGTGTTTGTTTTATGTAAAACTCTTTAGGAGGTTTTTTCCTCTCCAAAAATTGTCCTAATTGAAGAACTGAATTAAAAGCATAGGTGCAACATGTGTCTACACTTAAAAACTACTCAAAACCAAACAGTTGTTAAGATACTGTTTCTTACCAACAGATACTCAGTTGTTTCATAAAGAAATATAATTTGCAAAGCTTTGTCTTCCTTATCTTCCTGTCCTTAGAAACCTGCCTGTCTAGAAAGAGGGGCCTCTTGAGTATTGTTTGTTTGTAGATAGTTTCTAGCACGACTACAAATCCTTTTGGTAGGTACATAGAATCAACTTTCCGTAGATTAAGAACCAACATTGTGGCTTGGTTTTGGGTAAGTTATAGCTAGTGCTAGGACCAAGACATGCTAAGTTCAACAGACTAGATGGTTGAGGGTTGTGTCTTAGTATAAGGAGACAATTTCTACTTGCTAAGATAGTATGTGAAAATGAATGTACTTAAATATATTAATTGTTTGTTCATTCTTAGTTCCTTTTCAAGCACAATATTTAATTAATACCAACTACAGTCAAGTTGCTGTTCTCATCTCCTTTGTGCTGTTACAAACATATTTTATTTTTATTTTAAAAAATTGATAAAGCATATGCATTGTATACTAAATTATACCATGAAAATGATGGTTTTTTCCTGGTATGCCACCCACCTGACCCCTTCAGTTTCCCATTCCTTCCCAAGTTCAGTAGTGGCTTCTTATACATCGTCTCTGAGATAGATGATCCATGTATATTATAGTCTCTCATTTCACACAGGAACATACTGTGATAGACTCCTTTTGGTGGCCCTCTCAACAAACTATATACCTCATTGTGTTCATGCCCTGTGTTATTAATTGTCTTCCAAACTAACTGCTTGACCATGGGATTGGATTTGGCCAGTGGGACTTTGGAGAACTGCTGGCGTGTTGAGCCTTGTTCTCTGGAAATGTTGGTTATTGTGGCACTCCCTTGCAGAGCCTGAGGGCTGCCAGCTGTGAGATCTCCACTTAGTCATATGGAAAAGAAAAAAAGGAAGAAATGTTCTTCTACATGGAAGAAAAAAAGAGGTGCTACGTAAGCCTCCCACTGGCAGCCAGCTTCAGTTTGACAGCCATGTGATAAAGGATCTATCTTCTGGGAAGTGGATCCTCCTGTCCCTTTCAGGCTGCCCCAGATGATACCATGTGGATCAGAGATGAGCTTTCCCTGCTAAGCCTTGTCTAAATTGAAAAACTGAGCAGTCCTTATAAGCCACTAAATTCAATTTGTCATATAGCAACAGATAACTGAAATACATACTATATATATACACTGAATATTATGTCCCTTGCTTTTTTCACTGAACAGTGTATTAGATAGCAATCTGTTTCAGAATGTACAGAGCTGCCTTATTCATTTTAAGAGCTGGGTAGTATTCCATTGTACAATAAGTTAATTAACCAGACTTGCTGATAGAAATTTGCTGTTTCCAGTCTTTTGTGGCATTTAATGTCTTTGTTGTATACTTCCTTTTACACAAATATATACATTTATTGCCAAAATTCTTAGAAGTAGAAGCTGGGTTAAACTATGTGAATTGTTATTTTCAAAGGTATAACATTGCCCTCTAGAAGGGCCCCACTCCCACCAGGCACTTTTTTTTTTTGGTGTTGGGGATCCAACTTGGGACCTTGCTTGTGCGAGGCAGGTGCTGGAACCACTGAGCTAAATCCCTAGCCCAAGGCACTTCTTTTTTGATGGACCTTCTTCCTTTTTCTGTTAGCCTTCTTCTTTGTTTAACTTCTTCATATGACTAGGTGGAGATCTCACAGCTGGTGGCTCCTGGGATCTGCAAGAAAGTGCCATAATAACAGTATGTATTACCACTTAATATACGCTATCAGAAGCAAGTCTTTTTCCCTTCTGCTTCCTTACTTATCTTGATCAATTATATCAACCTTCTATTTTATAACTTTTGGATTTCTTATTTTTGTTTTGTTTGTCATATTTAGGCCTTTCCCACTCTGAGATTATTGTAGATAGTCTCCTATGTTTTCTTCTAGTATTTTTTCATTTTGACTTTCGTTCTGTTCAAAATGTCTTGGGGATCAAACTCAGGACCTTGCACTTGCAAGGCAGGCAGCGGCACCACTGAGCTAAATCCCCAGCCCTTCAAAATGTGTTTTGATGTATAGGTTCCAAATTGTTATTTTTCCAAATATGTTTCTGAGGTGGCCAGTCAGTTGTTAGTATTAATCATTCCACATTAATTTTCTTTTTTGGTACCAGGGATTGAACTCAGGTCCTTCTGCTTGCGAGGCGGGGGCGGAACCACTGAGCTAAATCCCCGGCCGTTTCCACATTTATATTATGTCCATGTTATCTTTACCATAAACTATATTCCATACTTATATGTTAGAAATCTCAGTATATTCACTGAATTCAAGACACTCATTTGAATTGCTGACCCATACATTATTGAATTGTTCCCTTTTTTCTTTGCTGTAATAAGAAATGTTATACTGAATATTTTAAAAGATAACTCTTCATAATTATCAATCCCAACCTAGCTTATGGTTTTCTTTGTGGATCTATAAATGAATATTTATAGTTTCCATTTTAAAAGTTATTTAAACTTTTATCTTTTTTTTTTTGGTACCGGGGATCGAACTCTGGTCCTTGCGCTTGAGCAGCAGGTGGCGAAACCACTGAGCTAAACCCCCGGCCCTAAACTATTATCTTGTCAAGCTGCTCAAAAGCCAGAGTTGGAAAGATCATTTTATGTACAGGAATATGGACAAGATCAATCCACTTAACTGAGATTTATCTGATGATAAAAGAGTAGCAAGAAACATGCTGTTTTATCATGTGTTATATATAAAGGCCTGTTCCTATGTTTCTGAAGCCTGTGATATAAGTGGCGTTGGGTTTCAGGTACCAGCTGGAAGCAGGAGTCTGTCTGGTGCATTGTGCTTTCCCATCGTCTGCCTGTGTCGTGGGCTGGTCATGCTGTGTTCTGTGCATAAAGCCACATTGTGTTCTCCTTTTCTCCTTCAAAAATCTCTTGTATCTACTAAGAGAGAAACATTTCACTAAGGTAGGCAAACTTCTAGGTTCAGAATCACAGAATGTCAGAGCCAAAGGGAACCCCCCCATGGCCTGTGCATTTTGTAAATGAGGTCTTTAATTTTCTTGTTCTGTACAATATTTTAATATTCTTGCACCCTCAGGTTATTTTGATAACAGTGGCATTGTTTTCCATGTCCTTAGTGGCAGGCAAGTGAGGATATTGTCAAAAATACTTAGTTTAAGGATAAAAGATGTTATTTCTTTTTCTTTTAGATCTTACCTAAACTTTCTTTGCCTGCTCACTCTTGGAAACAAGCAATGAAGCAGAGTTTTGCCTTTGACAATGTTGGGTATGAAGGGGGTGTGGACAACATGTGCCCTTCTCCGACGATAACCAGCACCATCAGCATTTTGGGCATGACTTGCCAATCCTGTGTCAAGTCCATCGAGGGCACGATTTCTAGTTTGAAGGGCATTGTGAACATTAAAGTTTCCTTGGAACAAGGCAACACAACTGTGAAATATGTACCATCAGTCATTAGCCTGCAACAGATTTGCCACCAAATTGGGGACATGGGCTTTGAGGCCAGCATGGCAGAGGGAAAGGCTTCCTCCTGGCCTTACAGGTCTTTATCGGCCCAAGAGGCAGTAGTCAAGCTTCGGGTGGAAGGCATGACCTGCCAGTCTTGTGTCAACTCCATTGAAGGCAAGATGCGGAAACTGCATGGAGTAGTGAGAGTCAAAGTTTCACTGAGCAATCAAGAGGCAGTCATCACTTACCAGCCTTATCTTATTCAACCAGAAGACCTCAGGGACCATGTCAATGACATGGGATTTGAAGCTGCCATCAAGAACAGAGTGGCTCCCTTAAGCCTGGGACCAATTGACATTGGCCGGTTACAAAGTGCTAACCCAAAGAGACCATCAGCTTTTGCTAACCAGAATCTCAACAACTCTGAGACCCTGGGGCACCAAGGAAGCCACATGGCTACCCTGCAACTAGGAATAGATGGAATGCACTGTCAGTCTTGTGTCTTGAATATTGAAGGAAATATAGGCCAACTCCCAGGGGTTCAACGTATTCAAATATCCTTGGAGAACAAAACTGCCGAAGTACAATATGACCCTTCTTGTGTCACACCTGTGTCCCTACAGAGAGCCATTGAGGCACTTCCACCTGGGAACTTTAAAGTTTCTCTTCTGGACGGAGCAGGAGGGAGTGGAGCAGGTGACGAGTCTTCCAGTTGTCATTCCCCTGGCTCTCCTAACCAGGTGCAGGGCCAGTGCAGCTCTGTAGTGCTCAGTGTCACTGGCATGACCTGTGTGTCCTGTGTGCAGTCCATCGAAGGTATGCTCTCCCAGCGAGAAGGGGTACAGCAAGTCTCTGTCTCTTTGGCTGAAAGGACTGCGACAGTTCTTTATGATCCCTCTATAATTAGCCCTGAAGATCTCCGAGCTGCTGTAGAAGATATGGGATTTGAGGCTTCATTGATTCCTGGTATGTAGTTGATACATGTTTGAAGTATGTCCCAGGTCATGGTGTTTTTTAACAGTACCTGAGTGACTGGATAGATGAGCTCTGCTCCTTGCCTCACATGTTCACAGTTAACAACATTCTGTAACCTTTCCTCACTTGTAAAAATTATCAGGACTAGGGAGTGGAATTTACAAGTGTTGCCTCTCATGTAGCTGGCACTTAAGTGCTAAACTCTTTGGATTTGGGCCTCTTTTCTGAATAGAATTCTGATTCTCTATGAAAGATCACTGTGACAGCCTTGGGCCCTTCTCTGACCAAAGGAAGTGTTACTATTAAGCTGTAGAGGAACTCAGAGGGACCTGAGCAAGACAGAAGGCTGGTTCTGGGCTCAGGAAGTCAGGAGGGTAGAGGTCAGAGCAAGCAAGTGCAGGGTCAGGGCTGGGGGCTCTGTATGATGGGGGCTGGCCCTGGAAGGGGCCAAGCCTGGTATAACCCCTCCCAGGTGCTGGAGGATCTTGTGGGCTGGAGGTGCAGATATGAGTATAGGAGCCCGGGTAAGGCAGAGATCCCAGGGAACAGTGGCAGGAGAAGGGAAGGAAGCTGGGGGAAGGTGGTGCATACAGGAGCAGAACCTCCCAGACAGCGGTGGGAAGAGAGGGTGTCCTCCTGAAGGTACCTTGAGATGCACAGAGGTGAAGGTTTGAAGGGTCTGTCAGGGTTAGCCAGGTGAGGCAATTGGAGGCCTTAGCAGCTGCTTCAGCACATGGGAAAGGTGGGAGCTTAGCCTGCACCATGGTGACGGTAAGTAAACCACTAGTGGCTTAGGTAAGGGAAGGGTAGAGAAGGACTACGAAAGGGGAAGGTAGAAATGCTCCAGAGACAGGCTGAAGATAAGGAGGGAAGAGTGTTTTGAGATGAGGTCTTGCTCTAGTACCCAGGCTGGTCTGAAACTCTTAGGCTCACATGACCCTCTTGCCTCAGCCTCCTTAGTGGCTGGGAGTACTGAGATGGGAGTACCTACCGGCACATTTGGTGAAGGGCAGCTCTATGGGTGATAATGTTTTAACCATTTAGTATCCCGATACAGCCTGTGTGTCTTGTGAATCTGCAGAATAAACTAGAAGGTGGTGGCCACAGAGGCCTGAGGCTGGTGTCACCGTGGTAGGTTGGAGGCACCCAGCTCAGGAAGAGCTGCGTGTGGTGCCCATAGGCCAAGCCCCCGGCAGCACCCAGGGCTGAGGGAGTTGGTTTCCCACATCCCATTTCCTCAGACCACCAAGAGTTTGTGTCCTTGAAAAGTTTGCTGTATTGTGATACTTTCCTGGGTCCCTCTGTACATACCACACCCACCATTGAAGGGACTGAGTAAGTCACGAGTGGATTGGCCACATTCTTTTGCCTTTGTGCCAAGTTTTAGGAAGGAGGTGTCCTCACTTCAACGTGCCATGAAAGGAATAAAACAAAAGTCAATAAGGAAAACACAATGGAACAGTAAATCCTTTACTCAAAAGGTGAGAGGGCTGGCGTTTTAGCTCAGTGGCACCGTGCCTGCCTCGAAAGCGCAAGGTTCTGAGTTCTATCGCTTGTACCGGAAAAAAAAAAAGGTGAGAAATATAGTATAGGGTTAACATTTGCTGTTTTTATGAGAAGGTTAAAAACTTTCAACAGTACAGTTAGATTATTGGCAATAAGAAGAAATGAAGATTTAACTGCATATTATAAGAATTGGAATTGACTGAATAAACCTAGAAAGAAGTGATTTCTTTGGGGGGTGGGTATTAAACTCGGGTCCTTGTGCTTTTGAGGCAGGCGGCGGAACCACTGAGCTAAATCCCCATCCTGAAAGAAGTGATTTTTATTGGGCAGAATTATATTTAGCCCAAGAGAGCATCAAATTTAGCAAATAAAAAATATTAATATACCCAGTTGAATTTGAATTTCAGATAAACTTATTTTTTTAGTATATGAACATTGAATATATATACTTACACTAAAAGATTAAGTATATTATATACACTAGAAACTTATTTGTGTTCATCTGAAATTAAAATTTAATTGGATATCCTGTATTTTAGCTGGCAAATTTAATCTAGGACAAACCATTAGTGTTCTGGGGAGTAGCATTTATAACCACTTAAATGATAAAACATATTATTATTATTATTTTTTTTTTTTTTTTAGACTAGTACTTTTTTTTTGGTACCAGGGATCAAACTCAGGTCCTTGCGCTGGCGAGGCACGCGGCGGAACTACTGAGCTAAATCCCTGGCCCAAAACATTATTTATATTTGATACATCTCTCTGGATTGATTAGGAGTTCCTGGTAGGTAGTCTTCAAATCTGTGTGACTTGTATCTCCTTGGACTCACGAGAACCCAGCATATTATAGGCATTTGGGAAGGAAAGGAGAGAGGAATTGGCTATGAGAAGCATAGGGTAGCTCTGTGGAGTGATTTACTGTGGGAAACTAATCACAGAGTTACTGAAGAGCTCAGAAGCCAACGGTGCCATGGGAGGTGGGGGAGACCCCAAAGGTGAACCTCAAAGGAGAGGGCTTCATGGAAGGGGCTGTGACTGTCAGTCAGCCACACTCCTCAAGGGAGGGGGCGTAGTATAAGCCCACAGGCAAAGCATCCCAGTGTGTGAGATTCATTCACAAGAAAAACTTAAGTCATGGGCTATTGTATAGGTCACTGCCAGTCTTTCTGTCTTCTGCAGCTTCAGCTTTAGAAAAATGACAGTCCTTCATTAAATGATATAATTAAATTTTTACATGCTTTTAAAGGTACGTATTTTGAGTTATCAAAATACTGTGAGTTTCTGGAGCAGTGAAATTATCCAGTATATTGATCTTAATGTTGGTGTGTATTTATGTGGTAGGCAGAATGGAGGTCTCCAAGTATCTACACCTTAATCCCTGGAACCTATGAATAAGTCACCTTACATAGCAAAAGGGACTTTACACAAGGACTGATCAAAAAATATAGTGTAAATGTTTACATTTTTTAAAAGTATTACCATAAAAGACACATTGCCATTAACCTCCCTCATCTTGACCACACTTGTTCCACTGTTCTTGCCACTTCGTAGAGCAGTTCTAGAAGTTCTCCTTCATGTCTTTATGAGGGATGATAAACACAATGAATGCTGCTGCCAAATGCCTTCCCAAAAATGTTACAGTGTGTCCTCATCCGCTTATTCACTGAATCTGACACAGTGAGACATCCCGATCTTCTCCAAGGTTAAAATCACCATGAAAAGTAAACAGTTTGAATCAGTGCAGGATATTGAGGAGGCCACGACTAAAGACACTCAGGAAGGAGGACTTCCAGAACTGCTTCAGAAATGTCAAGAAACATGGGATAAGTGTGTCCTGAGCAAGGGGGCAGTATTCTGCTGGGGATTAACAGCAGTGTGTCTTTTACTGTAATAAATTTTAAAATTATAACCATTCATCATATTTTTGGATCATACTGTATTAGATAAGATGAAAGGAGTGCGTGAATCTTGAGAGAGGTGCTAAATTAACCAAGTCGAATCCCATCAGTCATTAAAAATAGAGAACCTTTCCTGGCTGAGTTAGAAAAGCAGGATAGCTAAAGAGAGACTGAGGGTTGCTAACTTTGAAGATGGGGGACTGAAACCATGCTCCTGGGAATGCAGGTGGCTTTTAGGTTCTGGAAAAGACAAGAAAACATATTTTTCCCCCATTGCCTCCTAAAGGACACAGCACTACTGACACCTTGATTTCCTGGGAAGTCATGTGACACTTAAAACTATGGGACTATAAGATAATACATTGTGGTCTTTATGTTGCTAACCTTGTAATCTGTTATAGTAGCAGTGGGAAACACATTGAACATGTAATTCAACTAAGTTGAACAAGATTCAGAGGGAGATTCTTGGGGTTTGTGCATCTTACTCCAAGTAAATTATACCTTTAAAAAAGAAAGCATGGTACTGGCACAGAGATAGACAAAAAAAGATCAGTGGACACAATGGAAACCCAGAAACAGGCCCATGCCTGTGTGATCTCCTAATATATGGTAAAGGTGCCTTTGGAATTCTGTAGGGAAAGGATGGTTTTTTCAGTCTGTGGAAATGGATCATAATTAGAAAGAAATTGACCCTGACTCTTAATTTGTTTTTTATTTTGGGTACTGGGGATCGAACTCAGGTCCTTGTGCTTGCAAGGTAGGAGTGGTGGAACCACTGAGCTAAATCCCCGGCCCTCTTAATTTGTACTGTATACAAAAAGTAATTGAAATGGATGAGGAAGTCATTTAAAACAATAGAGCTTCTTGAAGAAAATGCTATGAATATTTTTACGAAGTTGAGGTAGACATCTAGGAAAGCACAAAATAAACATTTTTTTTTTTTTTTTAAAGACTAGGGATGTATGTAGTTCAGTGTGAAAGCCCTAGGTTTAATCCCCAGTACCACCACAAAAAAATGCTACTCTTTTTAAAGAATCAAAACATTCTATTTCATTAACATGAAGGACTTTGTTTACTGAAGGAAACCATTAGAAGAGTAAAAACAAATCACAGGCTGGAAAGAGGTATTTGCAGTGCATACAACTGACAAAGGATTTATATCTGGGGTATATAGATAACTTACACAATCAGTAAGAAAAAAGCAAACAACTCAATGAAAGTCTGATTCTCATGGGAAGAGAGCCAGACTTCTGCTACAAAAATGAGGTAGTGGTCAAAGGTACAGACCCTGGAGTTAAACAGACCTATTTAAATCTTGTTCCATTACTTGAGACATGTTAATTTCTTGTAATTCATTTCTTCATCCGTAGTGGGGATAAGAGCTTTTCCCATATATGGCTATTTTAAGGACTAAAGGAGACCATACATGTAAGGTGCTTAGCAGAATGCCTGATGAGTTACTATCATTACTATCATCATCATGTTCTTTGAGCCTTTGCCTACCCAGAATAATCATCCTTAAAGCATTAACCTGTTATGTTGCTCTAATTGTGTGCCTCTCTCTGTCTCTGATTGTGGGAAGGCAGACACAGAGATAGAAATAGCAACCCCCATGTCACCTCTGTAGGAACTTTTAATCTGTGTATTGTCGGGCTTGAACTTGTTGCTCTGTAAAACAAATTACTATTTAGTTTTATAATTGGAATTATTTCTGTTATTTTATTCTAGAAAACTGTTCTACCAACCACTACAGTGCTGGGAATGCCATGCTGCAAACTGTAGGTGACCCACCTGTGTCCGTGCAGGAAGTGACTCCGCAAGCCAGGGGGCCCCTTAGAAACCACAGCCCTGGCTACTCATCACATACGCCCCAATCCACTGGAACAGTAGCACCACAGAAGTGCTTTTTACAGATCAAAGGCATGACCTGTGCATCCTGTGTGTCTCACATAGAAAGAAATCTCCAGAAAGAAGCTGGTAAGAGATCTATATCCCTGTTGAATTTGGGAATGCTGTGTATAGAGTAGGTGTTCTCCCTTCAGAATCACCCTTGACTGCATTCATTAGTAGCCATGGCAAATCTGGTAGCAAGTTCACGATAGGATAAAATAGATGTTTGTCTAATGTTTTTGTGCAATTGGCATTGTTTTCTAAGAAGTATTTAGTTTGAGAGAAAGTATATCTCTGTGTAAGTTAGCCATGTAAAATCCAATTTAAAGGTCATGTTATAATTTATGGATTGACTTATTAATTAGCTTTTCCCAGTATTATTCGGTCCCATCAGCTGCTTTCTATAAAATGAATAAATAGTATGCATTTTGTGTAGAACTTCCAATTTGAAATATTCTGTCCTGTTGTTCCTATAACCAGAGTTTTATGAAAATAGCAAAATTTTGTTCTTCAAACTACATTTCCAGCTCTTTCTCTATGTCTTTTACTCTCACTGTCACTCTTACTCTTCCTCTTTTTTTTTTTTTTGTGGTACTGGGGATTAAATCCAGGCCTAGCACATGTTAGCGCTGAGCTACCTCCCAGCCTCCAATACTGTCTCTTAAATCTGAAAGTATAGAAGAAAATCCTGCCTCTCCTTTTTAGTACTGAGGATTGGACCCAGACCTCACACATGCTAGGCAAGTGCTCCCATTGAGCTGTATCTTCAGGCCTTTTAAAATTTTTATTTTGTGACAAGATGATGCTAAACTCCCTGGGGCAGATCTTGAACTTGTGATCCTCCTGCCCAACCCCACCAAGTAACTGGGATTACAAGTGTACCTGGCCTGTCCTCCTTTTTTGTTTGGAAGTAGTTTAACCATGACTTTACCTCACTTAGCAGAGATGATTTCCTTCTTTCAACACCCCAGTGGCTCCATGTGTTTTTGTGCTCTGACTCCCTGTCCCTTAGCATCAACTCTAAATGAGGAAGACCTGTTTTTCTAGCCTCTCACTGTGCCTTAAACTACCTGGATTCTAGAATGTCTTCTTAAATTGAGGTGTTACAGGAGTTCCTTTGTTATCCATGGGCTGACTGTTCATAGGATTAACTTATAATTTTATAATGCTTGTCTTTACCTGTCTGAATCCTTCATTTTCATCCCTTACACTTTGTAAAGCACATCATTGCTTTCATTTACTTGAATGTAGTCCTTTCCCCATCCTCCCATAAACATAATAGTGTTAGCAAGATAGTCTTGGGGATTTCTTTTTCATTGCTGAAAGTCACTAGAAACTGAAAAATAGCAAGAGCATTTTTGAAAGTTATTTTTTCCTTGTATGACAGTGTCTGGAGAAAGAAAGCATATCTTTTCTTTAATGGTAATTGCAGACCACCTCCCTTACTTTTTGATGTGCATGCAACCATGGAGTCTTTGAAAGCCTGTCAGTGTGGTCCACAGGCGTTCTGTATCTGCATCACTGGGAGCTGAGTGGACATGTGGAATTTCAGACTCAATGAGTTAGAATCTTTGTTTTAACAAGGTCCTCAGATGACTCATATACCCATTATTGTTTGAGAAGGATTTTTTTTTTTTAAAGAATAGGGGTATTCAAACTTGCCTATACATTAGAATCACATAGAGAGCTTTTGTAAAAAAGTGGCACCTGGGCCAGGGATTTAGCTCAGTGGTTTCGCCACCTGCTGCGCAGGTGCAAGGACCCGAATTCGATCCCCAGTATGGAAAAAAAAAAAAGCGACACCTACCCACCCTGAGAGATTCTGACTGCTTGGTCTGGGTTAGGGGCCAGCACTGAGGTTGCCAGAGCTCTCCATATGATCATCCTGTGCTGCTAAGTTGGAGAAACACTACTCTTAAGAGGCTTTTGGGGATACATTTTTCTTTGTTAGATTGTGTTGACTGTGTCATCACAGACACCTTGCTCAAAGTGTCTCGACTGTGACCTGATGTTTCCAGGTGTTCTCTCCATCCTGGTCGCCTTGATGTCAGGAAAGGCAGAAGTCAAGTATAATCCAGAGCTCATCCAGCCACCTAAGATCGCTCAGCTCATCCAGGACCTGGGCTTTGAGGCAGCAGTCATGGAGAACAATGAGGACTCAGATGGCGACATTGAGCTGGTTGTAAGTACAGTGGCTGCCTTACAAGGTGGTGCAGGCTTCATATGGCTTGTAGATGAGTTTCTGACAGCAGTCACTCTTGTGACCAATGTCTTCCATCTTGAATATACCCAGTTTGTCAATGGGTTTTTGTGTCGTCACCCCCACCCCACCCCAGCCAATAATAGTGACCTGTTCATTTTGTAAAGGAAGGTCAGTTATGTAAAAAAGTCAGAGGAGGTGATCTCAGCAAGGACACTAGGGTATAGGGAAGAAGAGGTGGTGAAGTGCAGGAGTCTGGGAAGGAGAAGTGGCACAGATAATGGGCTGCCTGGGGTGGTGGGTTGGGGGAGATTGAACACAGCCTTTCAAGTCTAAAGGGAAGCTCAACTGTGTGCATTTATCTCTAGGCAGTGGAAATAAGTCTCTGGGGTAGTGGGTGCCATTCAAAGATAGAGGGCTGCCATGAACTGGCACAAACAGTCAACAAGTGGGATCTCTTTTTACTAAAAACCTTCTGCACAGCAAGAGAAACCACCAGCAGTGTGAAGAGACAACCCACAATGTGGGAAAAAATTTTCACCAG